TTTAATGTGTTTTTTATCTTTAGCTTTAATTTAATGTCTTGCAATCTTTTTCTCATCACTACAGGTGGTATCGAATCCATGAGCCCTTGTACCCAAATTTATTTCATCTATTTCACATTTTCTGTGATCATTTGTAATGAGATAAGTCAATATAGCTTGATCTTGTCGATGATTTTTTCTATTACTTCCCCGTGGTGCTATGCATTCTTTTTCAAGAGCACATTCATATAAAGCGTCAATTAAATATTGAGTTTTGTTTGTATCAAAAAACAAGACGGCAGCATTACAATTATGAACATTTTTATATTTTTTACCATCAACATTAAAATATTTGTAAACACCCGGATGAGTCCACTTAGCCATGGTACCAGAAGATTTTGAAGAAATAAAACCATTATGTAATTTAAGAATTTTAGGAAGATTTTCTAAAGTTTTTTGACTAATAATAGTTCCAGAATCTGACCAAATTAAAAATCCAGGAAATTCAATTGAAATTTCTTTAATTATTCCAACTTTCCAACCATATTCACCTCTTGAAGTTCTATTTTTTTTTATATTCCAAAATTCTGGATATTTTGTATAATTAAATTTTCGTAGTTCATTAATTTTTTTTTTTGATTTAAATTTATCAAGTATAAATTTATGTTGTTCTTTTAAATCCAAATCGTAAATTATTATTCTTGATTTTATATTTTTTGGTAAAAATAATTTAAGATTGTTCATGTAACTTATCCAATGAGTTAATTCACACCAATGATTAGAACTAGCTGCTGTAACGATGGTAAAAGAGTATCCATCTGGTCTTGATGAAATGACTTTGGATTTTGCTTTGGATTTTGCTTTGGATTTAGATGGTGAGATTACTTCAATTGGACATATTTTTTTTTGAAAATAATCTATATATTTTAAACAAAAATTTGTTAAAATTTTTACATATAAATGTGTTATCTATTGTTGTACGTTAAATTTTCATCTGATCAAAAATTATTAACGACTTTATAATCTAATGCATGCAGATATGTATTAAATTTGCTTTCAATACACAGGTCGAACTTTAAGATTTCAGTGAGTTATCAGCGAGTTATCAGCGGAATATCGGACGTTTATGAAGCCGACATCGACCAGATATTTGGCAACCTATCGGATAGATATTGCTTATTAGACATCTGATACTTATATTGTAAAATATCGGATATTTGATATTTTGTTAATACGTAGGTGTGTCAGATCTCTAATATGCCTATCGGATGCATTATCTATCCGATAGATTGCAATACACACCAAATATCGGGCAGCTGTCAGCTTTATAAACGTCTGATATTCCACTAATATCTCACAGAAATCTCGTCGAAATTTTGAAGTTCGACCTGTGATATACAAATGTACACATTCTTTAAACGAGTATTTTTTAAACGAGTATTTGTGAAATTTCGCTTATATTTTCAAACTGATGTACATTAATAGAAAAAATACCTTCTAGTTCGGTTTGCCGCCGAAATTTTGTTAGATAAATATAAGTTAAAAGAAAAACAATGCAAATAATTAAGTATAAAGAAAATCTTTGCATTCCGCTTCGTCCTATCATTTTTTATTAATATATATATAAAGAATTTGAATGCTAAGGTCAAAATTGAAATAAGTGGACCTTTATTTATATACATTTTTTCTCTTTTAAAGAATCCAAGACTAATTATCTATCAATAGTTAGATAACTCATCATCGTTATCATTACGTATGACATAGTGCAGTATATATATACTAATTATATAATCAAATATATATAGGGTTATATTGTACGTAGTAGTTCATAGGTCGGTAAAATATTTACTATATACTAATGATCAACTATCTTTTCCTATATAGTAATTTTAATCAGTTTAATATTTTATTTTTTAATTTTTTACAAACCAATTCTTTTTTTTAATTCGAACAATATTATACTAATTTAATCCTTATATTAGTATATCGGAAGCACAACTGTCTGTCACATGTGGGTTGAACAAAATTGCTTCAACATGTAAAAATGCCGAAACTTTTGCTCTGTAACTTTTTTTGTTATCAATTATTTTGCATGTACATGAGGTAAATCAATTTTTTTTGAATACTTACTAGCCTTTGCTAATATAATAGCTAAAAAATGTCCAGTTAATAAAAAATATTACTCTGTAATTTTTTTTATTATACGTACTATACGTACGAATCGTTTACCACAAAAATTTCTTTTTTAGATCTAGTATTTCGTTAGTAAAAGTTTGCCGATCAATTTATGCACAAAATCTATTATATATATATATAGTATTATTACTATTACTATTACTGCATCTCACATGATTTCATGATTTTGATTAATTAGTACGTATCGGTCACCAAATATGTTCTATGATCTGCAATATAATATTGTTAAACCGTGATAATTTTTTGATTACCACATTTA